GGAAAAACTAGAGGTGCAAACCAGATCTATATTCATGTACGTACTTTTTACATCAGTTTATAGCTAATAAACCTGTATGACTGCTGCTGAGCCTTATTCTTGATAGCTCCCCAAAACACCTCTGCAAAAGGGACTGGTTGCGTATCTGAGCTCCTGTGAGACCACAGAAGATATCGACCCTGAGTGAATCACAGCTCTGGTGCTGTCGGGGCTTTTCTCTGCACTAACACTGATCCATGGGGATGTGTAACCTGTCCAGAGGTTTATCAGAGTCCATTCAATAAAACAAATTATTTCCATCCATCAGCCATGCTGCAGGTAGATGCCTGATAAGAGAATCCCTCTTTATGGATGGCTCTGCACTTGTATCCTGCTCAGGGTATAACCAGCTGAAAGGTAGATCTTTGAATTTTGGGTTAGCAATTAGCATTTCCAGGACTGTGATTATCAAGCCAAGTGGTGTTTTAAGGCAATACGTGACAGGTTGGGGGGGCGTCCTAGTACATATTTAAAGATTTTTTGGTGGGAGTGAAGCATTCTCATTCATATTTTGAGCAGGAATAAATAAAGGCCTGTCAGAGGGAAAAAAAAAATAATCTATTCTGCAGCACTGCAGAGAGGAGGAAAAAGCCCTCAGAGACCCCATTAATACTTAAGAAACTCTGGCAATTAACCCTTTAGCAAATGGACAATGAGAAATTCCAAGTATAGAGGAGGAAAGGAAAATTCTCAAAAAATAAATACTGTCCAGTCTCCTGGACATCACCTCAGACACCAGTGGTCAACACCTAGTGGTTGTTTTGCTTTAGAATAAGCCAGACAAGGCATAGGGGATGTATTTGGAAAGGCCTAATGCGAGGTATTGTCTGCAACATGATCAAGATGAATGAGAAAGAGAGCCAGGGATTTACATAACAAAAGCCTCAGACTTTGAAACTACCTCGGAGTCCCCTTACACCCCAAAACCCTGCTCTTCCACATTCCCTACCCTGGGGATGTTACACTTGGGTTACTCCAAGTATTTAGATGCTCACAAGACCCAAACACGCCAAGGCAAGAACCTTGTAATAACACCACAGCCACTTGCAGATCCCATTTGCTTATTTTATTCTCATCATTGTTTTTCATCTCTCCTCTGTTCTAATGGTAATAACATTTTTAGAAAATACCTACGGGCTCGAGCGGTGGCTTGGGACCGACGCGTACGCATCAAAAAACGCCAGGCTTCAGATGACATCAGTATACCCGCGGTACATCAAATTACTTTATAGATCAAACCAGACTTTTAAAATTGAATGAACTATTTAGCATTTTGGAGAACCAAAAGGTGGAACAAACTTTCCCTGGAGGGAGGCTTTAGGTGACAGCCTGGTTGGTCTGGGTTTATAAAACAACCTGCTTCTCTTTCTGTATCATATTCTTCTTATCATGATGCTCTCTGAACACCTTTCCAAAGCAATTAAATCCAGGCGAGTTGTCTGGATTTTCTCACATCATCCAATATTTATTCTTCACATCCCGGAGCAAAAATAGAGATTATGATGTTTGTTTTTAATCTCAGAGAAAGCTCTGTATCTACTACAGAAACAGCGTGTTAGAGCAGGGCCGGGGCAGTCCCACCCCATCACACAGGGGACTCCGAGCGTCCCAGAGAAGGTGATTTCTTGTAGGTATCAAGAGTTACTCACTAAATAAGTGAATGAATTAAAATTTGCGTAGACAAATAAGAAATGCAAAAAACCTCAATGAAAGTGCAGCAAGGGGAATCCGTGAAACTCTTCTTCTCAGGGATATTTTCCAGCCCGTAGATATATTTGTGAGATATCTATTTAATCAGATTATTTTAGGTGCAATTTATAGCGACGCTGACTGAAGGAGCTCAGCTGATACCAAGAAACTAAGACACCTGAAGTTATTTGTTATGCTCACCGAGTTGAATTCTTGTGTTCCTCTTTCTGTACAGCAAGAATTTGGAGCTGCTCTGAGCACAGCCCCATCCCATGATCACTGCATTCCCACCGACACCATCCCACCGCCTCACTGTGCTGCTGCTGTTTGACTGCTCAGGGAAAGGGGATGCACTCAGGATTAGATTAGGTAAGGTCTCATCATGCTGCATTTCACTATTTCTGATTATTTTGCACTTCCCAGACAATTTTACCTTGTTCTTTACCTGATCCATAATTAATGCACTAAAACCTGTGTGCTTTGAAAGACGAACGAGAAGGGAGCAATGCTCCTCCCTCTCTCAAGCGGACGAATGTGGAAAAAAAGAGGAAATACCAGGTAGAATTCTCCCACTTAAAGTTTCAGTGAGGATATATTTATATCTTTTGTGTTGAGAACTGTTTGGGGCGCCTCCCCCTTCAGTAGAACAAAGTCCAACGCCCACGGCGTGGCTCATCCTGATGTCTGCACACAGAGAAGTCCCTCAGGCCAAACGATGGCCACCAGCACGGCAGCACGGATTAAATCCCATCAGTGAATCCCGGTCGCTACAACGACATCCCGCTCCGCTTCTTGGAGTCCTTGCGTGCAATGGGGCTGAAGGACAAGATCTCCTTGTAGATATGCTCTTGAAAAAAAGAGAAAACAAACCATGAACGTGTGGGTTTACAGGATAGGAATGAAAGTTTGAGTGTTATAGGTGTGGAGAGAACATGGCAGGTGAAAGCTGGAAGAGATAGGCAAAATAGAAAGGCAAAAGAAATTTGCCTGAAGAGCTGGAGGGAGCTTTGTTGAATGCATAAAAGCAAAAGCAAGGCAAGGGAGATGTGCACAACCGCTGAGGCACCGGCTTACTCACGCCCTTACTCAGCACGTGCACAGGGAGCAGAGAGGGGCAGGAAAGACAGGAACTTCAGAGGAGATAAATTTCTTACTTCTCCACTCGTCAATCGAGAGCTTTTCGTGCTCCAGCGAGTCATCGTAGGACTGCTGGGCCTCCGTCTCCTCCTCCACATCTCGGAACTGGTCGAAATAGGGGTGAGCCAACGCCTGCGTCGCTGTGAGGCGCTTTTCCACATCCAGCTGCAACATCTTGTCAAGCAGGTCCACTGCTGTGGGAGACAAGAGCAGGGCTAAGCAAGGTGCGATGGAGATCAGAACGTGAACCTTGTGAGCGATGGGACCAGCGTTTCCATCTCCAGACCCCAGAATGAAAGAGTTTCCTCAACCTGGCCAAGGTCAGCGTGGAGCTCCCATCAGTGGGGATGCAAAAGCTGCCCAACAGCAGCCTCAGGGAACTCCTGCTAACAGCAGTGGAGGTGTAAATTGTGCATAAATATCAAATTAGTCTTGAATAAGCCTTGCTGCATGGATGGGGCTGCAAGACCATAGAGAGCGAGCCGGTAACTTCAAGATATTGTGCAGTTTTCATCATGTGCTTTCACTCTGACCCCCACAACTCAGAACAGTCTTAACATGAGTAATCTCTACAGAAATCTGTATGTGCCTGGTAAACAGGAAGGCAGGAAACTCAGATACCAACCAGTTTGGCAGCCCCGTGCCCCCTTGGTTTTAACAGCTCAACGTTTTCTGCCTTTCAGCTTTACAAGAGTTCTGCTCGCTCTCACCTCTAATCTACTCGGGGAAAGAGCTCCTTGTAAGAGATCAATTTTTTACCCTGAAAATTGCACATCTCAGCTGCCTGTGAAGAATCAATAGATGCGGGTGTTCAACAAACAGGATCTAAGCTGTACTCTAAAATAAGTATAAATACAAATATGCTGGAGTGTGCCGTGGGGCTCTCTTAGCACTTTATCAAAACCTGTGATGCCTTAGATGTGAGGCTGGGAAATACTAAAGGAAAAAGAGCTGGTTTGTTTATCTAAATGCTACTGATTGTAATATCACCTGCTTGGCTACAAGCAACGAGCTTGGGAAGCCAATATCAGCCAAAATCCATCCCAACTCTCATACCAAGTGGAACCGATGTATGCAGCTCTCCTAATCCCATAATTTACATCCCACAACCCAGATATCCCATAATATCCAGCACCTGCTCCCTTCTGGCTTGTTGATACGAGAGGCAGGAGTTTCTTCCTTAAATATTGTATGTTACAGGCGGTGTCATTTTAAAATTAAATAAAAAATACAGAAAATCAAGTAAATGGCCAAGAAGAGCAGAACATTGCTATTCTAGTGCCAATAAAGAATAATTTTCCTTTCAATTCATACATATTTGCCCTGAAAAAGGGAGGAAGCAGCAAGAAGTTATGAGAAGAGAGAAAAATCGCAGCTGTGGTGGTCAGAAGTCTGCCTTTCCAGGTGTGAAAGATCATGAGAAAAGCTGGAGATGACTTACCCTGAGGATTGGCCTTGGGGAAAAGCACAGACAGATCCTTCTTGGGGATTTTAGGAAGGGACTTGATGTAATTCTTAGCCTGAAAGAGGAAGGGAAGCACAGACGTTTACTGCACAAGTGCCAAGGGCTGGGAAATGGAGCTCTGAGGTCTCAGGGCTCAGATGAGCAAAGGCAAAAGAGCAGCAAATCATCTGGCAGGGAGCAGTTTGCAAGGAACTGTTTTTTTATTCATTAAATGCAGAAATATTCCTGCATTAAGGGCCAAAGTGGAGAACAGGGGAGATGGGTGGGCTCTGCCAGCGGGACCCGAATCCAGTGAACCTCTTACCGCCTTGTCCTCCAGCTTCTCCACAAAGTCCTCTCCCGGGTGCCCCGTGACCTTCAGGATCTGGGTCAGTTGGTCCAGGTCTGGGAGGTTGTGTTAAGGATCCCCTGACCTGCAGTGAGCCCTGGACACCACCCAACAGCTCAGCCCATGGGAGCCATGAATAGGTTATGATCCAAACCCAACTCTTTGGTTTTCCTCATCAAAAACACCCTCTGGTCACTGTGATAACCCCCTGGTAAACCAGACCAACACCTCTCAGTAGCATCACTCATAAAAGCCTTTTCTAACACATCCCAAGAATTATTATTTCCCCCCAAGGGAAAAAGTTCAGCTTGAAAGGATACAATCTTTTCCTTTAAACAGCGTTTTCCCAGTCAGCATTTCTGCCATGATGCAGCCGATAGACCAGATATCCACTGTTGAGAGAGAAAAAGGAGGAAAAAACATACATTAAAAAGGCAAAAAAGGACAGCAGTTTTTAGGAAGCAATGGTTGCTGGGGCTGTCACCTGCTTCTTCAGTCTGCAGCAGGCACCGATTTAAATTTCACTCCCATTTCCCACCCTCCCCTGTTCTTTCTATGCTGCTAAAATCTCCGCTTTCATCATTTCCCGCAGGCAGCAGCTCTGGGAGTGGTGCAGCAGCTCTGGGCCTCGCTCCGCTGCAGGGGACACCGATGAGAAAGGAGAAAAACACGTGCAGGATCGCATGAGGTGCGGGGCAGGCGCCACAGCGGGATCCCGGGCTCAGCACCGGCCACTGGACCACAGGAGCACCCAGCTCACCTGTCTGGTTGTAATGCATCCAGTTCAAGATGACTTCGGGGGCCCGGTACCAGCGCGTCACCACGTAGCCGGTCATTTCGGCATCGGCGTGTCTGGCCAAGCCAAAATCCAAGATCTGCGGGCAACCGAAGGGAGAGGGTGAAGGAAGGGCAGGGAAGAAAGGAGAAATCCTCACTTGCCCGTAGAATCTACTGCTACCAGAACACAAAGCAGATGCAATCAGATAATAACAAAGCTCCAGCTGCACCACAGCCACCCACGGGACGGTTCAAAGCACCAACAGGTTTGTCTTAATTCCGTTCTAAACGTGGCTGCTAAACCAGTTGTGGTGTGAGGACCCTGCAGAAAGGATCGGTGCTGTGCGCTACCGGGAAAGTCACTCCCTTTCTTGAAGGTGAAATTTCTACTCTGTGAGCTTTATTTAATTGAGTTCTTCTATAACCTGGTGGCAAAGGCGTGTTTCCAAGCTATCAAGACTCGCCCTTTCCTATAAAAACACCCTGCAGCTGACAGGGGTGGCCTCTCCCTTAATATTTGGGATGACCCAACCCTTACAGGCAAGAAAGCCGTTCCCTGCAAGAAATATGAAAGAAACCCTGCAGAGCAATGCTGGACATTGACTGGGATCACAACCGTCACGTCAAGGAGAACCAAAGGGCAGCGGTGGTTGAGCCCAGGTCTCCGTCGGGGATTGCTTGCCCAGCGCAGGGATGGCTCAGCAGCATTGAATTTGTTTAGGAAGCCGTGACAAAGCGCCGCGCCGCGCCGCAGGAATGACGGCGACAGGATGTTCATGCCAAGCCTTGGGCCCTGACTCAGCAAATTACATCAGCACGTGAGGATTTCCCACCGCTCGCAACCGCTGAGTCATGAAACGC